TTTCATAATACTGAAAAACAGCATACCCAAGAGGGAAATTAGTACATAGAAAACACAAATAGTGCAGTGAATAAATGGAGTGAATTTGGCCAATCAGGCCTGCATTTTGCTGAATAGGGTATCGGTTGTTCTTAGGCAGTGGGTGGGACCTAAAAGAGCTCAGCCAACTGAGTTTCTAAAGATTTGAGTTAAATGTACCATCATCAGGCAAAGGAGTTTATGTCCCTAATTCTAAAGTCTGCATATTAACCTTTTTGGCTTTCTTTTCTCCTAAATCTAGATTTTTGTAGTAATTATAACCTGAGTTTTATTGTCTGCATAAAAATGAGAGTCAAAAAGGCCTCTAGAAGTGCCTAAACCAGCAATAATGAAAGCAGTATACTGAGTATGCATTATTTCTTCACTCCCTATAGAAATGCTTTTTAGCATTTATAAGATAAATTATCCTTTTAAACAAGTCATAAAATAGAAGTTCTGTTTGCTTTCTGTGAGGCTGTAGCAGTGTTTTTGTATGTGCTCATCAGTGACATTTTGGTTCACAGGATTTCAGGAAATGACATGCAATAATAAAACACTGCATAATATACTGAAGAAAAGGCATAAAAATGGATCATTCTTAAAATATGGATATGGAATATATTTAAAATCAAATGAAGTACATTTGAGAAATTGGATTCATCTTGTAATGTTTCTCTATATAGCACATTCCATCTAAAATGGAATAAATGTTCAGTTCTCAAAGCTTTTTCATAAAAATTTGAGATTAATACCAAACTGTGATGATTCTTGATAATAATTGCTAATATTTATTGAGGGGTTATTGTACGTCAAGTAATACATTTGATTTTTTACAAGGATTAGCTCACTGAATCTTCCTAACAACCCAATGATGTACACACAATTATTGTCATTATTTTACAGATGAGGACAATTAAATACGGTAAGGTAACTTGCCCAGATTCACAGAACTAGTAAGAGGTGAAGCTGGGATTCTAACCTTGGCAATCTGACTTGGGAACCAGTGCTCTTAACCTCAAGACTATATAGGTTCTTATTATAATATGTACTCTTTTAATTATGAATATGTGAATATTCCACCATTTCCTAGATTGTTTAATAAACTGTAGGGAACTTTTCTTAACTAAGACTGTGAGCCATGCAACATAACAGAGTTAAATAGTTACCTCTTAAAACAAGGCCACAAAAACTATTTTAATAAATAGCCATATGAGAGAAAAGTCACTGATATAAATATCCAGTCAATTAAAAATACAGTAAGCAATGTAACTATTTTTAATGTCTTGTAGTTTTAACCCAGTTACCCTAGAGAATGGCAGCAGGATGAACAGATGGCATTCGATCAGATAAAATGGCAGGCCATGTGGTCATAGAAGAGGACACTCCTTAACACTGATGTCCTCTGGCTCCTGGCAGTAGTCACAGGCACCTAGATCTGTGTAACATGATGGTGTTTTAAAGATGCCATGATATAATTCAGGAGCATCGGCTTGCTGCCACCATTATTGTAAAATGCAATTTAATATGCACTCACAGATATTAGATAACCAAACACATTCAGACCAGAGTTGTGAGTTGGCAAGATCCTTCTTATAAATAAATGACCTTGGTAATAAGTGAGCCACAAGCTCATTTAGGTA